CACATCAACTAGCTTATTAGTCCCTTTAAGATTTTCACGTTTGCTGATTGCATTACTTAACTTGACGTACCTTCACGCAGGCTGCAAGCCTGCCAGATTCACACAATAGTTGAACTTCGTCTGCTCAATTCGAAAGGTCTCCACGATTAGTTGTTGCAGTATTCGGTCTGCAGCATCCACATATCCATCCTTGGGGTCCTTGCGCTGGACCTAATAGCACTTTTGTTCTTGAACACAAAGTGCCATTCCTTCTATGAAAGTCATGCAGTATCTCCCTTTTTAGTATCACCAATATGAGAATAAACACTTCCTAGGTAAGAGCGCATTCCAGCTCCCTTAGACCTCAGCGAAACTGACAGCCAGAAAACAGACGGGTATGATGCGGCAGAAGAAAGACCTGACGGACAGGTACTGGGTGTGAATCTAAGAGCTGGTGAGTGCAGGAACTGCGTGATCCAGGGTGCCATGACACACTCCACTGTCTTGCAAGTTTATTAGTAACCCTGTGTAACCCAAGTACATATGTAATCATGTGGTAATGCAAGAACAGAATGCACTTCAATATTGGAAGTAGCCCTCCCACTTTTACAACGCTTCTGTGCCCTGTACGGGGTGGCTATGCTGTGCTGCGGTACCCTTGCACCTGCACCAGAAGCAACGCGCTGTCGATTGTCGCGGTCCCCACGGAGCGGCAATCCCGGGACCCGCCCAGAGACTGGGCACAAGCCCTTCTGAAGTCTGACCTTTGAGTGGATGAGTGTGGACGGGTCATCACCGGCCAAGTCGGAATACCAGCGACGGTAAGCGCCCGCCGGTAAAGTGTTCCGATGCGCGGGATTTGTCAACAGTGGGCCAAACTGTGGAGCGGTCGATGGGGTGTCATGGTAGGTGATGATCGATTGCTTTCGTCGGGATGTACCGGTTCAGCGGACCAGAAGACGAAAGTGAAGCTCCCTTGATCGGCCTCAGACCAGATCAGGCCTTTTGAAGGGAGTGTCCTACATTTGTGTGGTGTATTGAACTGAAATAGTCGCGTCGATGAACACCCAGGTGGGGCAGCTCCGAAGCCGCCACTGCAGCGTTTACTGTTCACTGTGACGTTTACTGTGGCAATGAGTACGTGTCCGAACCACGCCCGGGGCACAGCCACAGCAGCTGAGTCGGTGCAACGGGAAGATCTTCAGCATGATCTGGGGGCGTCAGGAGCCAGACGCCTACGATGAAACGCTGTCTCGCCTGGGGTCATGATCTATGGATGGGAACGCAGAACAGCTCTGGAGCACTTCTCAGCGTCCGGACAAGTTGAAACTAGTTAAATGCGATCGCAGTGACAGGCGTCGTCGTGGGCGCAGGGAGCGCCGCTGGAACGTAAAGGGATTCTTCCGAGAATCGTCTCGAGAAGCTTTCTCGCTGCGACAGATCTGGATGGTTGGAACAAATTAGCGGCACGACCACGCGCGTGAATTGGTGACGCTTAAGAACCAGATTGAACTGCTCGCGTAGCAGGTGAGAACGGCTTCTGGCGGGCCCCGAGGAGCCGGTTGATCTCACCGGGCTGACACGCTATGCGCCGGCCCGATCGACGATCGACCCGCACGCATGATACGGCCGTCCCTGTCACCTTCCGAAGGTCACACTTTCGGTCAGGCCTCAATGCTTTTAGACCATGAAAACCTGATCTAAGCATCGGAATCAGGTTGACTGTGATGGCTTTGCTTTGTAATCAAACCAATCCGCTTCATGCACATAAGTGTGCTGCACATGCACCACAATCTAATCTTCTCTTTCCAGGTTAAGGGTTACCTTTTTTCGTTGAAAACAAGCGGCAGGGAGTTATCATCTACTCATTATTCGTGACCATTAGTGCGATGCCTTAAAGAACGCTTCCGCCCACGCCAATCGCCACCATTACTTTACGGCATCCTGTGCGTAGCATTTACTCTACTTTCCACATAAAACGCAACCCGTTAGTAGGAATGTTTGACTATTACGCGCCAACAGAACAAACAGCACACGATTAAACGGCGAGCGCTGGCCTCGGTCGTGCGATCTGTTTCTTTATTCAAACAGTATTGGACGTATTGCAATATTGCGAAAGGAAGGCCTCGGCACTTTGCCACGCATGATACGTCACGCGTCATACCACGCGTGACGTAACATCTAGTTTAAACGGGACCGTGTCGGCTTTCTAGATTGTAGCCCTTTCCCAGGACCACTGCCACCAGGTGGACGGGATGGGTGAATGCACCTCTCATTCAACCTCCAAATGAATAAACGAATAGTTTATTAAAACATTTTGATATATATTTAACTAATTCTCGAGCCCACGCCGCCCTCGGACAGCGGGGGTAAGTTTGCTTTGCACACTCTGAAAATTCAGGGAGCCTTCCGAAAGCGGTGGTAGGCTAGTGTACATGATCAATATAATAAAGTTGCCACAAAGTTACATACTAACCTTTTTCAGGCCACCATCAGTAGAAATGGAACCACCATGGAACTATGGAACTACTAAGTACCGAATCCGGAGTGCCCCCCCCCCCCCCCCACAAAAAAACGATGAGCAGGAACTGAGCCCATCGTGGATTGGCAGACCCACGTAAATAGCCTTAAACTCTACTCTAGGAGCGTTTTGTGTCACATCATGCATCAATTATTCATGCTACCTACAGTTGCAGATTTGGTCTCATGGGACCAAATCACAAAATACCCATGTATGAAATGGCGAATAGATACAAAAATATGGCATAAAACGCCGCCGGAGCAAAAACGCACGGCCATTTTGATACAACTGGCTAACAGCTATGACTCTCATTCCTGTTAATCCATCAGCACGATTTAAGACATGTTACCAAATTAGATTCTTCTTTAGGAAAATGTTTGAAAAAGTTGGTCAAAAGATGACTTTGGCCATTTTTCCTTTCACATACAACTAGCCATAAGGCTTGATGAAAAGGGAAACACGAATGCAAGTACTTTTTGTTCAGAAAGTTTAAAGTGCCGAGTACTGACAATGCAAGCAAAGTTTGCTCTATAACACTGTTGAACCAGTGCCTACTCATGTACTGCAAGTCGTTAACTCAGTGCTAGAACTCTAAAACTCATCAGCCCAGAGGCCCCGGGACTTGAATTAGTTGATGCAGCGGGACCCCGAAACCCCACTAGACCCTGTCTGCATACTGGTAATGGTGTTCCGTGCGCATGCTCTCATCCTTCCTACTTTATCAGTGTTTATGACTTTATTTATCGGTGTCAGTATGTATCGATGTTATGTTCCCTACACCCACGTAACCTGACATGACCCGAGACTACCTTGATATGTTAAAATGATCAACTCCTGATGCATTTTATGATATTTAGCATAGCTGCCTTACAAGATGGAAACCGTGTCATATCACGTCATATGAGGCATGCGCGGCAACTCAGCTGGCTTGACTCCCGAGAAATCAGAGCTCACCATACGACTTAATCAGGCCTGGTGCAGCCTGGTCTGATTAAGCAGGATGATCGGGCTAGGAATGGATTTTGACCCCAAATGCACCATGAATTACCATACTGGTGCATTAAACACCCGTACAAGCTAGGAAATCTGCAGATGTCTCGTGCAACCCTCCAATAGTGGCCTTATATCTCCGTGGTTTGACGTGACATGAGGTAACCGCCGGGGTCAGGTTGGAGTGCTGCAGCGCACATTGGTCAGCATGTTAGACCACCTCAGGTCAAAATGCCGTGGGCTCAGGTTGGAGTACTGCGGGGTCATGTCAGAGTGCAGCGGGGTTAGGGGGTTAGACTGTAGTGCTGCAGTGTCAGTCATAATGCCGTGAGGTCACGTCGGAGTGCCATTAAGTCACGCTGTAGTGCCGTGAGGTCACGTCAGAGTGCCGTGAGGTCATGTCGGAGTGCCGTGAGGTCACGCTGTAGTGCCGTGAGGTCACGCTGGAGTGCCGTGGAGTCACATCGGATTGCCGTGAGATCACGTTGGAGTGCCGGAGGTCACGCTGTAGTGCCGTAAGGTCACGTCGCAGTGCCACTGTCGCTCAGAAACGGATCAGACAGCCTAATAGAGAGAAACTTGATGTCTAGATGTAGATTTAGATCTATGATAGATGTCGGACAAATCTGATCACCCAAGACCAAAGCCATCAGACAGGGATATCATCCCGTTTCCTTCTACGCCTTTGTTCCAAACACTGGCTAGAGAGGGAGGGGAGGAAGACGTTGGAGTCGTGCCCAGCGGCGCACTTCCCACCCGGAGGACAAGTATATCGGTGACCAGCGGGGTACGCCTGGTAGGAGGCTCACGAATAAGAAACGATACCGAGTCTGATTTACCTGTCCATCGCACAGTCTGGCAAAAACTGCAGCTGTTTCGTGGCAGCCGGTTGCTGTTTAGCTGAAATTTTTAGATACTGTAGCTATAAAATTCCGGACCAGGAAACTCCAAAAATCTCCGAGGGTCGATGGCGCATCAGTTAAAAAGTTATCAGAACATCAAAAGCCAGCTCGTTGGAGTCATCTGATAACAGATAGTTGGAAAGCCGCTGCGATTTGTGCGCTTGGTCCGTGCATCATTCATGCAAGCGGCCTAAAACTTTTGAAGTAATCAGTAATGGGACTGTGAGTGTGAAAAACAAAACGGTGAAAATCATGTCATTGAGAAACCATGTTTTAACATTCAACATATTTGTGAACCGCACCATTCGGGAGTGACATATGAACTTCCCATTGATAACATCTGAACTAAAACACAATGCAGCGAAACACATCGCACACCTTTCAATAAAGTATGACGCAGCCGAACACATGGCGCGCACCTCAGGTCAAGACGTGGTTAGCTGCATAACATCAAGCGATGGGACTCCAATGAACTTGAGCGCAACGAGTTTCAGCATTGACACACAACGCACAATTCGGACTGGATACACTGCGATCTGCACACGGAGCTGGCTCTAGCCCCGTGATAAAGGTCTCGGGCAGTTATTAGAGAGTCAAAAGGTACTCACTTCTCAGAAGGTAGAGTGTCCGGCTCTCATTCTCCGACTCGAGAGCGTCAAAAACGGCCGCGCCCACCAGCAGGTACGTCAGCGTGCAGACGATCAGGGAGAGGGTGCGTACGTTTTGTTTCTTCATCTCATCGTGACCGTCCTGGGGGCCCGGGCTCCCCGGGCTCCGTCCGCGGGGCTCTCAGCTCCGTCTGCGGGGCTTCCGGCTTCCCGGCTCAGCCAGTCGGGTTGCCGGCTTCCCGGACTCCGTCAGTTGGGCTCCCGGCTTCCCGGGCTTCGTCTCACGGATTCCCGGCTTCCCGGATTTCGTCAGTCGGGCCCTCGGCTTCCCGGGTTTCGTCAGTCGGGTTCCCGGCTTCCTGGGTTCTGTCAGTCGGGCTCTCGGGTTCCCGGGTTCTGTCAGTCGGGCGCCCGGCCTCTGTCAGTGGGGCTACCGGCTATGTCAGCCGGGCAACCACAGTCAGACTCCCAGCGATGTCGGCTGAGATCCCTGCTCCTGACGCTTCGTCAGTGGGTCTTCACGTATGGCAAGGCCATGTGGGTCATGACTCCCCGGGCTAGTCGGTGAACCCCTGTCTTGCCGGGGCCGGGGCTCCCGGCCCCTGGGTTGTGTGGATGGGACTGCAGGCTCCCAAGCTCCGTTTATCGGGATCCCGAAGTTCCTCGTCGGATTCTTTGGTCTATGTTAATTGGAGTCAACCTCGCAATCCGACCCTGAAAACAAGAGGAAGCTTGTTAAAAACGATTATTTCCGCTCGTTATGTCCGGCCATTTAGGACCTTAGCCACGTTGTGAAGTACCTCGCATAGCCTGGAGTATTTGATGGGTCATTGGAATCTCGGAAATGAATGAACGAAAGCGCACCATTTGCAGTGCAAGCGGCATTTTACAGTACATTTTTTCTAGTATTCATGACAGAAGTCCTTGCGCTTCACACAAAGGTTAGCTTGCAGTCACTGACAGGCGCCGTGCCGACCAGGGAGTCATTACGATTAGCTGACATGCGGTGCAAGAGCTATGATACCTATCTCAGGTTGCAACCTTATGGTATGCCGCACTACACTCACTGATCGGTACACATGGACGTGACAACACGACACACAACACTAATGAGAGCTAGGAGCGGTTTTGCCAAGTGCACGGCAGGTACAACACTACACGACACTACAAGGACAACACTGTCGGGTGTGACGCAGCGCTCCGCAACGCCCAGGCATAGCAATGCCAGGGCAGAGTGTGGGAGGAAACCTCGATTTCTTTCGTTGCGTCACCGTAGGTTTAGTGTTACAGTCCTGCGAAGAAGGAGGCACGACCGCCCCGACCCCTCGCCTACGCCGCGAGGCAAGCGACCTTATTGGTTGGATGAGCATAGACCGGGCTCCTGGTCCGCTGGAATAGCTGCGGAATGAAGCTCTTAACTGGTAAATCTTCAGGACTTTCGCTTTGTGGCACCGATGTATGTGTGACAGTTCTTACAGACACGGTTTCTTCGAGCGGTCACTGGGTATTTCTCGCGCGCGGCTAGCTCATATACAGCCAACAAGTCGTTGGGGCTGTGCATGCACGTCTTCTTTCAATGCAGAGTTACGACGGTGACTCCCTCCTGGATCAAGTTTTGGTTTGCTATGTACCGACCAAAAAGGCAAATACCGATGACCCACATTTACGTGCGGCTAACGCCAACTGTGATCTCCTCTCTCTCTCTCTCTCTCTCTCTCTCCTCTCTCTCTCCTCTCTCTCTCATCTCTCTCATCTCTCCTCTCGCTCTCTCTCCCTCTCTCTCTCTCTGCTCTCTCTCTCTCTCTCTCTCTCTCTCTCTCTCTCTCTCTCTCTCTCTCTCTCTTTGGGATCACTTCTGTTACGCATTCTCGTGTCAACAAGTCAACTTCATGTCAACAAGACATATGGCGAAGAAAATTTTGTCGTTTGAATTTAAACATTTAACAAACTACGTGATTTGGTGTTGATATATATATATATATATATATATATATATATATATATATGCATATAAATATATGCTCAAAACACAATACAATAATATCCCGGCCCTGCAGCTCACCTTACTGTAACGACGGCAACATCCACCTGAGGTGCGAAACGCGCGTTATTAGGTTATTTTATGAGTTTTCGGCATGCCTTCTGTTTCAATACTTCAATTCCAAGCATTTAATAGAACAATGGTCGGTTTGGAGAATGGGATTGGCCATTCAGAACGTCACAGCAAGCTCATATTATCTTTTTGTGGCGTGTCTTGTGGTTCTGGCGATGTAGGTGCTGCTCACTCAGTTCGGGGCACTGATAGTGTTCGTCAGGATTGCGATGGTCCTGAAAGCAGGAGAGGGGGCAGAGGTAGTCTTGTATGCATGGTGCTCTGAAACTGAAATGCAATATTTTTGGGAAAATTCGACTTTTGAAACGCCACGATGAGGTCAGTTGTTGATCTAACGATCTAACAACAAATGTCAATCGCGAGATCTTGTTGGGACCAATTCACCGGCGTTCTCTGTTCAGCTCTATCTTTATTAGTTTGGAAACACTAGGGGGAATAGCACCGACCCTTTCAGTCTAAGTCATGAAAAACGGCAAATCAGGGCGGGGTAAAAAGAACGGTATTTTCCGCTTGGAATGAGTTAGAGCACCAAGCAGATGCTATTCAAAGCATGAAATATTGTTCTCGCTCATGGGATATGCATAAGCGAGAAATTATTTATTTCCAAAGTATTAATAAGCATTAATTATTAGTATAATTATTACTAAAGTAATTATTATTTCCAAGGTATACATATATATATATATATATATATATATATATATATATATATATATATATGTATGAATATTCATTTAAGCATTGGTCGTATAAAATAGCAAGGGATTCGTTGTTAATGATCTTCCGGGCTGTGCTTCCAATCATTCATACTAAGTGTTTGCTTTCTTGGCTGTGCTTGTTAAAGAGATTGCTCCACATTTGAAGACATTAAAGCAAGCATCAGATATCGTTAAATAAACTCACTTTTAGCTCAAGGCGTACTTTTAAGTGGAAAAGACTGCGCAAGACATTACAATATCTTTGTTTATTAACGGGCTCCCCAACATGTCAGCTCAATTACGTCATCTTGCCATGGTCAACACTGATTGCTACTTTCTTCTTTTTCTCTCTTTTCTCTCATGCTTCTTTCCATTTTTAATTTTCACGAACACATACTATGTGAAAGGCATTATCAGGAACTACTTGAAAGCAAAAAAAAAAAAGGAAGAGAACTTTTTCCAAACCGCTAAATCACATTGCACTTAAGTTCTTTTCTTGTCAGTTTTGCCGTCCATGCGTTTATTTCCGGCCATTTTGCGTTTTTTGTGTCATCTGATCCGTCTTCTCCTGCTGAATTCATATATCTAGTCCAATAGCTGAAATTTGCACAAGCCTTTGGCTAAAAGAAAGGGCTAAAAGCTTGTAAAAATTTGCATTCGTTGTTTCAATCACCAAATTCGGCATGACTAGGCGAACTAGACGACATAAAAAACGCAAAACGGACAAATATTAACATATGGGGTTTACCTCTGGACGGCAGAGTTATGCTGTCTTGGGATACTGGGTCCTTTCCGTGCGGCCAAGGGCTACGATTGTATGGTGACATGTCTGCTGATAGATGGTTCCATGTCGCGTGCGTACAGCACATAAAACATAGACAGTGTCTAAGCAGCATAACATAAAGTACCTCGAGCACATAAAGCCGTCTCACATCGTGGCATCTGTCTTCGATAGCGGACAGATGCCACGATTTACCACAATCTACCGTTTGTTGTCTAGTGGGTTAATGTTCATGGTGCGATTTCGAATGTTTGTTTTTTGTTTTGCTTTGGGGGGGGGGGGGCACTCTGGTTGTGCGCTGCGATGCGTCTACTGAGTGTAGTGTTCGTGAATCCAATGTAGTTACAGTTGGAGGTCAGACGGAGCGCGCAGTCTCCGAGGGGGCATTTGTAACTGTACATTACACTGGATTGCTTCAGAAGAGATATTCCACAAGTCGGGCTACTTTCCATGAGAATAAAAAGTGTCGTAGGCTTTGGTGAAAGATATTTAGCTTCAACTGGTCCCCCGAGACGCCAGCTTACAGTGTCTCCTGACGATTGATCGAATGACCTTTTGATCGGCCTTGTAAGCCAGTGACATGCTGTTCTTGAGGAGCAGTTTGTGAGCTGTACCGTCTGCAGTAGTAGTGCGCTACGGCTCGGACACGTTGGGCGATTGCGTCGCGTATGGGTTAGTCGATGGATTGAAGAGTTATTGTTGTTAATAGCAGTTGTTTAAGCCAGTGCATCTCCAAGTGCACAAGTTTTCATGACGAATGATGTTTTATCGCCCTTTCCACGTAAGCTTTCATGACACTATCTTTGCATGTATCGGGACAGTGGCCCGAGCCGTTCAAGCACCCGCTCGAGTCTGTTGGCTTACGATGGACAGCGGTCGGAAAGGGTCCGCCACCATCCAAAGACACGTCGAGAAAGCTGATGCTGTCATTTGCGCTTATTCCGGTGATAAACTCTCGTGCCGAGCCTTGCTCTTGCCGGTTTTTAAGCTTCAGCAGGCGTTGGTGTCCATTTACGTCTGCAAGGACATCATCGGCGTATCGGCAACACGAAGATAGTCGTTCCGCGTCCCTACTGTCCAACGCTGTTTGCCCGACACGAGCCATGACGCACATGGACCCATCTATCAACAGGTCAACGCGCCGAGAACCCTAGCCCTTGACGAAGTGGCCTTGTGGGCCCCACGGATAGGACCTTACATCCCAAGACAGTGCAACTAAAAAATATAGCTTAAGTGGGAGGTGACTTAGTGATTTAGAGTGAGCTTCCATGAGCTTTTGATTTATAGCAGTCCCCGATGGAACATAACACATAGTATATGATACATAGTATATGATCCCCTGATGATACATAGCACCTTGGTGCTGAAACAGCAAAGAAAATGGAAGACTTGAACGCGGCACAAGTCTTCAGGTCTCGCTACAGTAATTTGCACATAGCACCACTAATTCCCTACTATGTTGCAAGGCATTGGCTGTCTGGTGTAGGCGTTCTGGAAGCCTCTAAGGCCTCACTAAACAAAGGGTGTGTCATAAAGTCCGGTGTAAGCACATTTCCTCCCAATGGTTTTAACATAATATTCTACCTGAAATAATATTACAGTATTCGAAAATGCATGCGCACACGCACACGCACACGCACACGCACACGCACACGCACACCCACACGCGCACGCACACACAATTCCAAGATGCTTCTGGACAAAATGTCTTAAAAATACTTCATCCAGTAAGCCTTCGCAAAACGGTTAACGGCGTGCCTTGCAGTGGATGGACGGTTGGCTGCCTTGTTGCCCTTTGACCTCTCCACGGGTCAGTTCCACGACGAACTGACTTTCCCGGGCCGAGCACACCGCATCCACGTATCAGTCCAAGCCGAGCGCACCGCATCTACGCATCACTCCAAGCCGAGCGCACCGTATCTACGTATCACTCCAAGCCGAGCGCACATGGGATGATCACAGCACAGGCGCACAGGGATGATCACCGAGCGCACAGGGATGATCACACCCGAGCAACGCTGACTGGCGGCCATTGGCAGCCGCTCCGCGCACCGTATCTACGTATCACTCCAAGCCGAGCGCACCACATCTACGCATCACTCCAGGCCGAGCACACCGCATCCACGTATCAGTCCAAGCCGAGCGCACCGCATCTACGCATCACTCCAAGCCGAGCGCACCGTATCTACGTATCACTCCAAGCCGAGCGCATCGCATCTACGCATCATTCCAGGCCGAGCACACCGCATCCACGTATCAGTCCAAGCCGAGCGCACCGCATCTACGCATCACTCCAAGCCGAGCGCATCGTATCTACGTATCAGTCCACGCCGAGCGCACCGCATTTACGCATCACTCCAAGCCGAGCGCACCGCATCTACGTATCACTCCAAGGCGAGCGCATCGTATCTATGCATCACTCCAGGCCGAGCGCACCGCATTTACGCATCATTCCAAGCCGAGCGCACCGCATCTACGCATCACTCCAGACCGAGCACACCGCATCTACGTATCACTCCAAGCCGAGCGCGCCGCATCTACGTATCACTCCAAGCCGAGCGCACCGCATCTACGTATCACTCCAAGCCGAGCGCACCGCATCTACGTATCACTCCAAGCCGAGCGCACCGCATTCACGCGTCAGTCCGTCAGGTGCTGAGCCGAGTTCCTTTCTCATATCCGTATGGAGGACAGCAAGCAATTTCGGGTGTGTTTCAAAACAACGACAGATCTCCAAAGCCAGCCTGCTGTGCAAATAGACAAAATGAGTGGCAGCAATCGCGTGTTTTGCTGCTGTTGCATCCGGTCCCTCGCAGGCAGAATGTGAACCGGATGTTTTCTGGGTCGTGCTGATTGCCTGCGTGTGCAGCTCAGACCGTCCCAGCGATCCAAGTGGATTCCACTGAAGATCAGCGCGCCCTAAGGAGGCTTTAAGTCTACCACTTGTAGTTTCAAACAGGCATGGCACTAACAATTTCATCTCGCGGTTGCGAGCCAAAAATACAGTTGGCAAACACCCGATCTTGATCATTACAGCCGGCAAAGCCGCTAGCTGAATGTATCAGGTTTCATCATTTGCATGTCCGCCATTTGAACCGTCTATTCCGATTTTATTCTGCTCGATATCCACTCTAATATTTGCTTCCGATATTCGTTTCGATAAATGCATGTTGCCGAAATATCAACGCATCTATACCTCCATTCTCCTGGTTTTTTTCTAGGAGGAATAACGCTATTATTATCATCTTGTCTATGTACATGATATTCCTTGCAAATGCAATTAAGAACTAACGATATCCATTTTCTGCACCGGCGTATCAATCAAGGACACCGATCAATATTGAAAAAGTATGTGTGTTCATAATCACATCACCTTTCGCGTGCAACCGTGCGGACGGCATACCCACATAACGGATCAGCAGGCCACGGGCAGAAATCGCGTGTTGTAAGCGTGAGATGAGATTAAGATAAGAGAAAATGTTGATATGGTATAAGCATGGGAGGCCCTTTGAAATTCTGGGT